CGCCGTGGATTGAGCTGTATCTTGTTGAAACAGATGCTGCTTCAAAGCTGGCAGTGGTCCTTTCAAGGTAACGCAGGGCCTGGCCAATGGAAACTGGAACTAATTGCTTTCCTCTTCTCTCTGTCTTGCTGCTGTTTTGCAGTTGGTTTAGTGGCATCTCCTGGGAGCTGGGTCCCCTTTCCCTCTGACCTTCTGCCTGGCAAGGCCATGCCGCCCATGACCAGTGACAGCAGCTGAGCCCTCACTGCGAAGTCATTGTTGTAAGAAGTGGTGGCTAACAGCAGTGCTTAGCTCTCCCGTAGCACTGTCCACCTGCAGCTCTTCAAAGAAAGGCAAATAGCGCTGTCCCCATTATACAGAGGGGGAAACTGAGGCACAGGGCAGGATGATTTAGTTGGGGATTGGTCCTGCTTTGAGCAGGGGGTTGGACTAGATGACCTCCTGAGGTCCCTTCCAACCCTGATATTCTATGAAGCGAGTTGCCCAGACCAGTAGCAGCGCTGGGACTAGAACCCATAATATCCCGACTTATTCCAGTGCCCTGTCCTAAGTCTGTTCGGGATCTGTTCAGGCTAACCTGTAATAAGCCCCTCTCAGGCCCCAGTAAGAGTGGCCCCTGTGCCCTTGTGAACTGCTTTAACTAAACTGGTTTAAATTCACACCTCTAGTTAGACTGGGAAACGCTGTGTACAGACCAGGCCTGACTGAACTAAGCTTAAGAGCAGTTTAAGTGAGTCCGAGTGTGGTTACGCTAAGGGTTTGCCCTGCTTAAATTGATCCGTTCGGCTGCTGCACGTTTTCTTGCCCTGCCTTGGAGTTGTACCCACTCGCCTACACGTAACTGACCCTGCTGCTAACCTCTCCGCTTCAACCGTGGCCGCCTGATGTGAATGTAAGGGAGGCTAATCCCTGTAAGTCACGTGCCGAGAGACCCAAGGAACGCAACGAGCAGGAGGCGGAAGAAGGCTTGAGTTAAAGCAGCCCCTGCGCTACTGGAAGAAACCCCTCCGCCCAGCTCCTTTGCACGTTCCATCAATGGAGGCTCCATTACACACTGGTACAGCAGTGTCCGGAGGGCTAAGGGAGTGAGAGCATCCCAGCCTCCAGCTGACACCACCTTCCATGTCCCCTTTGAATCCAGCCTTTGGCCTTAAACTTCCCAGCCAGCGGGAGGCAGGAGAGCAATTGATTCATCTGTAAAAGGCCCAGCAAAACGCCAGCCAGCAGCTCATTGAATTGCACGTGACAGCCCGCTTGTAGGTTGGCGGGAGGTTGGCCTTGGTTCCTGTGCTCGGCCCCCGGCGGGGCATTGTGAATGGAAATTTGGCCTGGGCGATAACAGACTGGTACGTTAGATCGCATGCCCAGGGGTTTGCGAGGTCGCTAGTAGACTGGTTTTCACTCGGGGTGGGCTACCCAGCCTGCTGGATTAGGAGCCAAGTGCAAGCAAAGAACTCTCTGCTAGCAACGATTGCCGCGGGGCCAGGGGACGAAGCAGCTTTGCGGCTTAACTGGAGCCGTGCTGTCAGGGCTTCTGCAGCTAGTCCGTCCCCGCCCCAGAGGCGGGGCTGTGGAAAGGCACCTCCTTGGGCTGTCTCTTTCCCCATCCTCCCAGGGCTGGGGAACAATGGACATTGGCCTGTTCCGCAGTCCCTGGTCCACCCCTCCCCGGGGGACAGACCCCTGGACTGGCACAGAGCCCTCTGAATGGGTGGGGGAAGCAGTGGGGGGGAGAAAGACGGTGCCACATTGGCAAACTGATCCGCACTTCGCTCTCGCTCTGGCTGGTGGAGAGCTTCCAAATGTCTCCTTGTCGCAAAGCCCCTTCGTGCCCACTGGTAAGTGCTGGATCACCCTCCTGTGTTCCCAGCCAGAGTAACTTGAGTTCCTTCTGCCCTGGAAAACCTATTTGCTCCCCAAAATCACTAACCCATTGACACACTCGCAATGACACCTTCCTTGTTTCCCGTACTCCCCTAGGGCATTTCCCAAGCAGTGTTCATCGGCCATGACTGGGGCGGAGCTGTGGTGTGGAACATGTCCCTCTTTTACCCAGAGCGAGTGAGGTAAGTCACCGGCGGATGTCTCCCCTATAATTCAATCTCCAAAGGGGGCGGAGGGGTACCACGCAATGAGCTTTCTGACTTAGTTGTGGATTTTGTTTTGTTTTTTCCAATCTGTCCTGAAATGAGATGATTTTGGGAAGAGAATGCTGAGAAAATGCTCACAATTCCCACTAATGTGACCAGAAGGTTTTTTGTTCACCATATAAAATATCACCACAATCACCAACTTGACTCTTGAAAATATTTATTTGCTGAGAGCTTTGTTAGAAGCGAGTTTCTACTCTGAAAAGTGATCGTGTACAAAGAGGCCTCCGCCAACTCACCAGGTCTACTCCCTGTTGTGAGTGTCAGAGGCAGAACTGTTCATTTGAGGGGCAAAAGGTGATTTTTTACTGCTCTTGACTCTTGTTAGCCCTCGAGAGCCAACACAGCTGAGAGCAAGCGAGCTGGATTCTATTCCTCTGGGGGCATCGTCAATTGCACCATTTACAAGGTTCCGGTCAGTTACACCTGTGCAAACCGCTGGCCTTGCTCAGGTGTTACTGAAGTCATAACCTGAAAGCACTGGGGCTGCGCAGGTGTCACCAAGCACCTGATTTTCCCTACAGGACCTTTAGAACATGTGGTCCCATGTGAGAAGGAAAGATCCCAGCATGACTCCGAGCCCAGCTTGAGTTCCCAGTGCTGGCTAGTGGAGGAAAACCTCTGTACTCAAACTGAGCGTGCTTGATGGAGTCACTGAGGTGTAACAAACGTGACCTCTCACAAGACCATTTGTAGGGACACTTTTCAGAGTAGAGCCTCACTAGCTGAAGCTGGTGCTGGGAAAAGTTGCCAGGATGCCAGCCTGGGAGACAGTTTCTCTGTTTAGCCACTGAACAAGTACAGCCTGAATAGCAGCCCAGTAAGTTTTCTCTGCGCATCGTCCTGCCAGGCTGCGCCAACCTCTCTAGTCTTAGACTCTGACCTCTCAGTGTGGCCGTAACGCGTGTTGCCACGGTAAGAGTCCTGGAGCCTGAGCCAATTCCCGGTGAATGACTCAGCTGGATCTGAGACCAGCCTGCAGAACTGGGGTGCCGGCGGCTAGAACCTTAGTATATGGACCGAGTGGATCTGGGATTCAGTGACCTCATTCCTTGAGCCCTTCCCCACTGACAAGTGATGCTTCACCGCGGGAGAAGGCTCTGGGCACTCGGGGCTAGAGTCTTAGACGGTGTAAATTGATGATCTGTTTAGGCCAATATGATTATGGTGAATTATGCCTGCTGCGGACCTGGTCCTTCACATGTTACTCCCGGGGCCTGGGGTGTAATAGGAGTGATGGTCTCTGCTATCCATCTCCCCTGCCCCAGTTCACCATTTACTGCTCTCACTGCCCTCCCATCACAGAAACAACGGCTCTGCTTCCCCCAGACCCCTTCACGGTGGAGTTCTAGTGAAGGCGCTCCATGTGCTTGACGCTCCGAGGGAGCACCTGAAAAGGTCCATATCTCACTTCTCTCTGAAGCCTGCTCGTGGGTGACTTCCTGTCCCATGTAAATGCCCCTGTGTGTGCGCGCAGCCCAATGCCAGTGTGCGAAGTCGGAGTCTGCTGTTTAAATCTGAGCGTATCGCTCCTGGTTATAAACTGGGTCTTTTGGTTTCTCCCTCTTTGATTCCTGCTGCTGGTGTCTTAGGGCAGTGGCTGGACTGAACACGCCCTACAGACCAGCGGACCCCAAAGTGGATATCATGGAGACGATCAAAGCCCGTCCTGTGTTCGACTATCAGCTTTATTTCCAGGAGCCGGTGAGTACGAGCCAAAGATGTTCTATTCCCAGTGTGCTGGGTACATGCGCTCCATGGGTTCTGTTCTCCTGCCTGCCAGTCCCGTGATGTAAGGCATCAACAGAGAACTCTACCTGAGGAAATATAAAGGATGGCTCTGGCTAGAGGGCCAGATTCAGAGCTGCTGTAAATCCATATAACTGGATTGACTTCAGCCTAGCTCTGATGGCTTCCACCAGATCTAGCCCCATAGTGCCATAAAGGGAGAGCTCGTAAGGTAATAAAACAGTTGGAGCGGAGAAAGTTTGCCTGACAGAGATGGTTCCATTGGTAACGCTCTCTTTCCTTCTGATAAGACATCTGCCCTTGGTCGTATGGCTCACTGATGATGTAGTGTGTACCAGGGGTGCGCTCTGTCCATCAGATGAAATGTTAAACTGAGACTGATTCTGCCTGTATTTGGTATCTGTCCAGGCAGGGGGTTAAAGATCCCCTCGCACTATTCCAAAAGTGTTAAGAGACAATCACAGACTCCTGGGCACTGCTCTCCCCATCTTACCACCCTTGGACATCTCAACCACTGTGGAAACCAGTTCCAACGTCTAAGTGTCTAGAAAGGGTCATGGAATCGAGGAAGCCGCTGCGGGGTTTGCGCAAGGATCTGCAAGATTCATGAGCTCCCCTGCCCGCCTTTTTAAATAGCCCCGAGCAACAAATTCCTGCTCTTGCCTTCGGCGCCTCAGAGACTTTGTTCGAAGAGGCTTATCCGAGCGTTCGAGGCGCTGGGCATGGGCAGTGCCAGCTTAAGGACGGTAGACGATGCCATGGGCGTGTGCAGTGCTCACGAGCAAAGGCCATTGGCCGGGACTAGGCAAGGCTCCCATTGGCCTTTCCAAGCACGGCCAAAGCATGGAAAATCTCACAAGCTGCCCCCAGCAAATGGGTCAGTAAAGGGCGTGGCGGGATTGCCTTCATCTGGCCACTTGCCACTTACAGCTACCTTGACGCTCTCCAGCCATGACCGGCTGGTAAGTCCTAGGGGACATTGAGTCCAGTCCCCTGCTAGCACAGGCGACCCCGAGTCAGCAGAGTACAGCAGGCCTCCTCAAAACAGCTCTGCCTCCCGTCCATGCGCGCTGTGGCGCCTGGCTGGTCTGGCCGATAGCTGCACCCTGCGGCTTGAACTCTGCATCACAACCGGCGCACACGCATCAAGTCCCCCGCTGGGAATTGCATCCCAGCACGTACCTACCTGGACTAATGCAGCAGCGGGGGGCGTCCCAGTGTCTTCGCTGCACGGTTGGCTGGGTGAGTGGGACTCATGCTCGAATCGGATGTAACCGAACTCTCCCTTGCTGCGTGCCCCCTGCTAGGGACGCAGCCCCAGCTGCTGGGTCAACATGCCGCCAGCAGCTGCTGAGCCAGGCTGGGGCAGCAGGATCATTCCTCCCCGAGCTATTGTGCAGTGCTGAGGTGACACGTCCGCACCGCAGCGACTCGCAGGGAGGCTGCTGAGGCCACATTAAAGCCCCTGGCTCGACAGCGGAACCTGTGTCTGCTCCCTTATTATGTCCCCTGGGTGCCCCTTGTGTCCTGTGACCCCCACAATTTTTCCATGGTCCCCACCAATCCTTGGTCAGGAGAAGAACGGACAGGACCGGGGCCCGTTCCTGGCGAGGGATATTCCGCTCTCTCCCCACTGGGGCAGAACATCCTGCTTCCGTGTGGCTCTCCGACCCAACGGCTTATGGATCAAGGGCAGAGACTCGAGCTCACGTTTCTTGTGTGGTGCCCTCAAGGGCAATGGGTTAGTTCCAGGGCAGCCCGGTATCCCTTTGAGAGACGCCCACAGCCGCGTGGCTGCGGAACCCGCCACAGCTGGCAGATGTCTGTCTGAACCGAAACCCGTTCCAAATGGGCTCTTCCCAGAGAGGTCTAGGGCGGATCGAGATGAGGGGGGGCCCTAATAAGTGTCGGGTGCTAGAGCCTGCTGGGAAAGTCTCTGGCGTTAAAGCCAGGCATGTGAGTAATTACAGGCGGGGGTGGAGTGATTGCAGCGGATTGATGCTGGCAGGTGGATCCCGGTAGCTAGCCCCAGGTACAAGAGGGATTGGTGTGTCTCTTGGGGGCTGTGGGAATGAAGGGCTGAGGCAGAAGAGGTCCTGCAAGGATGGTCCAGGAGCAGATGCATTTGGGGGAGAACTCAGGTTGAGGCTTTGATTTGAGTTACAAGCCCCGGGGAGGGAAAAGGGTGGAGTACAAGCGGTTTGGTTTTACTCTGGGCGTGTCTACACTAGAAGCGCTACATTGGCGCAGCTGCACCGATGCAGCGCGTCTGGCAAAGACGCCGTATGCCACCGAGAGAGCGTCCCCCGCCGACAGAGCGCCAGTGTGGATAGCACTTAGGTCTCTGGAACTTGCATCACTTTCCCCCCCACCCCTGAGCGACGTAAGTTAGATCGACTTAAGCGGTCGTGTAGACCCGCCCCCTGTCTGGAGCAGGGGGGGAACTCCACCTGCTCAGTCCCTGTTCTCTGTGCAAAATTAAATGTGGAACACAGCCTCTCTCGACAGAGGGCAGGTGGCTAATGAACCATGAGCATGCTCATCGCGTAGCTGGGGGCCGGGCCTCTGAGCTGCGCTGACGATGGCAAGTGTATTTCCGCCTGTCAGAGGCAGAAGGCCGAGCCATGCGTCCCTTAGAGCACGTTAGAAATCCGATTAGCTGACTCGAACTGGTGGTACAGGGCGAGTTTTCCAGCGTGAATTCCGCCCTGGCCTCGCATATTCCCTTCGCGCTTTGTCTTTGAAATGATAATTAGGCAGATGGCCCCTCCATGTGTTTTCAGCCCAAGAGGCAGAGCTGGGCTTTGCTTGTCACGCTTGGCAGGCAGGTGAGGAGATAAAGAAAGAACAGAGGGACTATCTGGTGCTTTCAAGATAGGAAAACGCTCCTGCCCTTTGAGCAAAGAGGCCTTGGCAGAGGGAATGAAAGGGGATGTTCTGAGCTCTGCTGTATAGGGCCTTAGAGAATAAGGAATTGAAGGGGCCAGGGAGCCAGGGATGGATTTTAAGAGGGGCTAGATGCAGGCATAGTATTGATTCTCACAGCAGAGCACGGTGGCTGGGTGGGGAGATTATAGTCCAACCTCCAGGAAGATAAGGAGTGAGGAGCTATTGGAAAACTTTGGGGGAAGAAGGGGAGGCTCTGAATCCGAAGCGGAGTGATGGCTGGGCCTGGAAGTTCCCGTCCGGGGATGTGACTGACCTGTCATTAGTTTGGAGCTGCTTTGCTGACCAGGGGTTTTAAAATGGGTCTTTCTAGTGTGAGATCTACACAGAGCAGCAGCCAGGCTGCGTAGGCCCCCAGTTCGAAAACACCCCCCCTCCCCCGGAATCCTATTAAATGCTGTGGGGTTGAGTCGTCTTTCTGAGCTAGGCAAATGAAGCTGTGTGCTATACATGGTGGGTGTTTCCTTCCGGGTGAGTCCAGGAGCTTCTCTTCACTTTGCCCAAATGTCCGAGACCACATTCACAAGCGGAGTGTGGAACTTGCGTCCCGGCTGCCTCTGCACGAGCAAATGGGACAACTGCACAGGCAGAGGGGTAACGAAGCATCTGAATGCGCATTTGCACCTGGCCTGACTCCGTGCACAGACACAGGCGCGCTTTTCGGATCATACAAATAGAAAGCCGTTCCCCAGGCAGGAGTTGGGAACAGCAGTGAACGGTATGGTCGTAAATACCCCAGGACGGCCGCGTGGCGTAATGAAACAGCCTTTAACCACACGCCCAAACAAACGTTCCGTACCTGGCTCTAGGAGCCGCGTCAGGCATCCTGTGACTTTATAATGCAAGACAAACCTTCATCTTTAAAGCTCACCCCTCTGGCAGGGAACGGCCCCCCGAGCTAGCTAGCAAGGTGTAATCTTTCTCAACGTGCGCTGTTCTAGCCCGACAAATCCCAGGTTTGAGCGGAAATCACAGCTTTGCCTTAACCGCCAGTTTATTAAACTCCATCAAAACGCTGTCTTCATCTGGAAGTTAAATCTCCATATCCCACTGAAACCCATTTATCTTCTCAGCTCCTTTCTCCGCCCTTTCACGTGCGTGACGCCAAATTGGATAGGGTGCCGCAGATCCAGACACAGCAGTATTTCTGTCGTCAGCTTTTTTTCAAATGGTGGGGGGGAGCAGTCTGTTCAGCATCCCGCGGTGCAATGCCCCCCCATCCCCCACTACATGTCCTGATATTTTACTGTTAGGATCTGGTCACCCTAGGAGGGGGTGAGCAGGGACACCATGAAGGGCATGTCCTGAGAGCGAGTTGATGATCACCAGCTAACGGGAATTGCATTTACACTTCAGCCTCTGTATGTGGTTTCTGGGTGGGTGGATCAGAGCATCAATTTCTTCTGAAGGCAGTTTCCAATCTGGATGGGCAGTGAACGTACTTTGAAGTCTGTTCCTGCCAGACAGTGACCGGAATTAATAGCGATGCAAGGAGGCTGGTGAACCAGCGCTTTCCCTTTGAGATGGTTGGGAGTGAATTTGTTTTATTAGTGCTCATGAAAAAGACAGATTGATGATGCTGGCCAGACTCAGGTGTAGCACAAAGCTTTTACACAGCTCGGTTAGTGCACCCCAATCCTGTCCCCCCCCCCTTTCCATTCCAGTCCTGAGCCTGGCACTGCATTCAGTCAGGCTACATACTGCGGTGTGTTTGAATGGGCGTAGCTGGGGCCTGGAATGAGCTCCACCAAATGTTGATTTGCTGGGCGTTAAGCCCCGATTGCAGCTGGAGACGTTGAGGGGGAAGGGGTCGGTATGGGATCTGTTCTGAGGACGAAAGGAAGTTTGGGGGTTCGAGGGTGTTCAGCATGGCTCACCCACTGCAAAACTTTGTTACAAAAGTGAGGATGGGGAGATCTGTCTTCGCTGCAGTGAGTGCAGGCTCTTACCCGGGGGTGCCCCCTAACCCCCTTCCCCTCCCCACACATATCCCTCTCCCGCGAATGTCA